TTTATGGTTGAAATTACTCCGCCCTTTACAAGTTTCCGGCTCCACCCAGGAAAGCGCTGGCAACAACAGAAAGGAAGGGGAAGGTCTACCACAAGGAAAAACTACAAAACACAGCATTAATACACATCAAATAAATCTATGGAAATAAGTTAAAGCAATTGTTCCCATCCAGCCAATCAATTAAAAACTTTGGAAAACAATCACAATACTGCACCCCGAGATATATAAAAGCTCATTATAGAGTCGGCATTAGTTATCAATTGTGTTTTAAGAGTATGAAATATAAACAAATTCTAAAACGCTGATATCCAACAATTGAAAATTGAATCCGTATGTGAACAAGAGTCCATCCGCAACTCTGCTGACAATCAACTTATCCAATCATCAGTGTGACAACTATTACAAGAACTCAATAGACATAAGCAGTGCAAATAAGGATTTTTGAAAGTCGGTGCCCTGAAACATAGAGCATTTGCCAAAACAGTACTCAATTTTGAAATCGTAGACAATAACACTGTTGGTCAAACAAACAAGTTCATACACGTTAAACAAAAACCACAACATAAATCTTATCAATTTTCACTCTTTTTTGTTGCCAGATAGAAAGTACGGTCTCACCTTATTCAGACTCAAAATTTTCATCTTTTTCGATCTCAACTCAAACTTCACCAAACGCAGATCTAAAATAGATCAGGATACTTTGTGGAAATTTGCATCAAATACAGGGAAAATTCTCTATTTAACAAGAGAATGTGAAGATTTGCTCGCAACAAAACCCTGTAATGTTAAAAATAGGTTTGACAATGACTAAGCACAGAAACCAAAGAACTTGGACACCAGCCCCGACCTTTCACAGCTAGACTCATTGCAAAGAGGCACAACAGAAAAGTAAACTAAACAGTGAACACCATTACTTTCCTTTGAGTAGTTCTACTTTAAACATCAAGATACTCAAATAATTACAGGATTGTTTTACTTTTCAAGTCACAAATCTTCTTATATATTGTGATTTTGTGGATGTATGAGTATGTAGCATCTGCACTGCACCAGACAGTAATGATAAATTTTATTAATTAAAACAATGAATGAATATTGATAAGTATATACATAGTTTTGAATACTAATATTAATTTTTATCTTTTATTTCATATGTATGATATATAATAATTTAATATATAATTTATATATTTATTTCACTTGTTATAAAATAGCTTTTATATATTCATTTCACTTGTTATAACATAGCTTTCATTTTAGAGTTTCTATTAGAATTAAAGAACACTAGTACAACACATGTGTATTAGACGGGTGTTTGTTAAAAAATTATTCTTAAAATTTATAATTAATGAGAAAAATTATTTTAAATTTTATTTACTTTTTTACAAAAAATATATATTATTATATATTTTAGAATCAACTTGTTACTTGTGCGACTTACATGTGTTATTATAGTAATTTTTATAAAATTTTCATAACTTATATCATATAACTACTTGATATAAATATATTGATTGATAAATAATTATATTTTTAAATTAATATTAAAAAAAAAATATTATTGTTATAAAGATAATATAATTTTTTTTACATACAATATGGATGTTAAATCGAAGTTCATCAAGAAGTTATTAATTTGATATATTATATATGTTAAACTGATAAAAAATACAAAATTTATTAACTTTTAAAATACATTTACAATTCAATGGTTATAATAAGAAATGATATTAAAATACAATTAATACATGTAACATGACCATAAATAATGAACAAATATTTTTGGATAATTCGGACCTAATTATTTTTAGATTGAAAGTAAATTTAAATCTATCCAAGCCTAATAACAAAACATATAATTTTGTCACATAATTTTACCACATGTAATTTTAACGTATTCAAACATTATTAATAAATAAAATCACAAAATACCTCTCTCTCTATCTCTCTTCTTACTTATAATACCTTATTACAATGACATATCACAACATTTACTTTTTTTTTCCCCAACGGCAAATTATGCAATTTAAACTCAAGTTTTCAAATTAAGACATAAACTAAGAAACAAAGAACTACAACTTAAAAAATAAAAAGCAACTAAAACTACCATCCACTACACTTGTCATCGTAAATAACACAACAGCAAACATCAAATTTAATCATGTTTTTCCAAATAATATTTTCAATCGATACTCCAAACTATAATAAAGCAGTAGCTACTAAACTCGGCACTATTGCCACCTCAAATTCCAAAATCTAACGATTTATACCCTGTTTATGTTGCCTCAAATTGTAGATCATAAGGCATCTATGAACGGAGAACATCTGTCGCTACTTCAAATGTGATCATATCAAATTATATATGTTATCTGATGTAATAGAAATTTGATTTTTTTATATTGAAATCCAATATATAAAAGTTTTTATCCAATACACCGTTTACCAATCACTGAAATCTAAGTTCATGCCTCAATTTATCCAAATAAATAAATAAATAAAAATAAAAGTTGTGTCTTAAAATGCCAAAATTGCAAAATTATGCTTAAATTACTATTGAAGTAAAGACAATGACCTATTCTGTAATTAGGCCTATTACAATATATTATTGAAAATGATGGTAAAAGTTGAAAAATTGTGACAAATATTATATATAATTTTTTTTTCAATAAATTCCCACATCCCTTTTAACTTTCAATAACAATCTCTAATTTTTTTATTTTTCCACTGCACTTTCTAATTATAAATTTTTTTTCCACGTAACTCTCCGACCTTAAAAAATATATAAATCAACTAAAAAAATCACATCAATCCCCCACTAATGCTAACTTTCTCTCTTTTTTTTATTATTATTATTTTTATTTTTCNGCGGGAAGAATTCCACAACAAAATAGCATTCATAGCATGAATTAGAATAGGGATTGTCTGAAGAACACACTAACATACATTAACCTTGGACCACAACGCAGAATAAGCAGTTGCTAAATATATTTCACATACAAGATACCACAACAAAATAGCATTCAATAGTACTAATAAAACATATTACATCACAACAAAGCGATAATAACTCACACTAGTTCTAATATAAATAACCAAGAAAACTTGAGTATTAAACAAGAAACCAAAAACAGAAAGGGTTAACTTATAAATAACCTAATGTGCTTAGGTACTAGAGCCTCCAGCTGACGCTTAGCATAAATCTTTGCTTTGGCAAAGTTTAATACTTTAAGATCAACTGCTTTATAGGCCAGACGATACGGAGGTTGGGTGTCAACAATGATCTCCTTAAGCGCGACACAATTCTCCAATAAGTAGTTGACTAATTCAACATCACTCGGGCAACCATACTAACCTAAAAACCGAAAAACATTCAAGTGCTGGTGCAGTGGAAACTGCTTAACTCCCTTCTGAATTTTTCTATTTGACCTTTCAGCATCAAACCATTGTTGCTGCAAATATAAGTGAAAATAAAATAAAGGTCATATATTAATTTAACTTAACATATAAAATGTAAGACGAAAAAATACAAGCCATAAAGCCATTCAATGATGACCAGTTTACACAAGATTGTAGGGATAATATTTTCAAATATGTCTGGGATAGACAAACCTTTAACTCAAATTCTTGCAAGTTAGGACATGCGTTGATAAAATGAGCAAGGCCTAGAAGACTCCAGTCCACTCCATATAAAACTTTCATGAAGACCAACTTCCTAAGTTTAGGCAGCACAGGGAAATTGAGCATCGTTAGAAGCTCCTGCAATAACAATATCAACTGGTAAGTTACATATACAGGCTCACTACAAATTTCATAGGATGCTAGAGTTATAAATTGTATTGTTTGTTTTTTGTACATATTTAACCCAAAAGTTTCTATAAAACCAAACAAGGCTTCAAACAATGAATCTATTGCTGGTTTGACAACCATTCGTTTATTGTGTGAGCCACCAAATTTAACAGTTGGCAAATCCGCAAAAGGGCTCTATTATCTATCTTGAAAGATGTTGATGGAAAAATCATTTGTGGAAACTTTAAAAAAATGAGTCAAACACTTTAACTTACCACCTATAGAAAATCAGTTGAAAAATCCGAAAATATGTTCGGTGTTCACTTTATATGAAATCAACAACATCCATATTTTACGCATTCGAAAATATGTTCACTTTCGGGTGTGATTTGTTATATATCAGTTTCAATATATGTGTTGTAAAGTTTCAATGATCTGTTATAAAATTTCAATGATCTGAATTTATATCATAATAATAAATATGCAAAACAAATCAGAATATTACTGGTTTTTTTTATTAATCTTATACCAAAATTTAATTTTAAAAACGTTTGATAATAAAAATTTGTGGCTACAAATAATATTTTTTATTAATGTAAATCAATTATGCTATTTTTGATTCATTGTAAACTAATATTAGTAAACGTGTGAATCAAAATCCGTTGATACAAATCTTTTGATTAACACTATGGTTACCAAAACCGGACCGGACCGGCCGGTCCGAACGGTTCAACCGAGAACCAATCCCCAAAGCGGTGCGATCTGAGGTGTTAAACCGCTTGGCACCAAAACCGGTTAAAAACCATTCGGGCCGTTCGTAAACCAGTAAAACCGTAGAATCGGTACAGATTATAGCGGCCCAGCGGCTTCTAATTTAATAATTTGTGCTGACTTTTTCATTATAAGCTTTTCACTTCTTTGATAGTTATTCGATGTGGGACAAAAGTTGTTTCCACCTTTTACATCCCCCTCCTTTTGCTTGTGGCGTGGGCCAAAAAAGGCCCACTTTTTTGGGCCTTTTTTAAGTTTATGCAATGCAATTTGCAGTCTGGGCCATTTTTTTTATGTCTATGCAAAGTTTCAAATGGAAAATTTTTTTAAATTCAAAACTAAAGCCAACTTAAGAAAAAAATAAAATAAAAATAAGACAAATTATATTATCATTATAAATTTACTATCTATATCTATATATATATAATAAGAATTACCATTTACTAAAAATAGTAGCCAAAAATTTTGGAAACATTAAATGCATACCATTTTTAAAAACTTTTTAAATATATACATTAATTGCTTCCATATACACGTTTTCAAATAAGATATGATCAAAAAATTAATTAAATAAATTTTTTAATATCTGCAATACTTTCATTGATATTTATTATAATAAATTACAAGATTGATTTTCCGTGATTCATGTTGATAATATTTTGGTCAAGATAAATATTATTTTGTTAATATTTGTAATACTTTCATTGATATTAGTTGTAATAAATTACAAGATTGATTTCCATGATCCATGTTGATAATACTTTGGTCAAGATAAATAGTACACCATATTTTAAGTTCTAACCATATTATAATTTTTTTTCACAAATACTCATTTTTTACCCAAAAATATTTATGAAAAATCGTAACATGTTAGGTAGAATTTTTTTTCCAAGTAATCAGACAAAATGAAGCTGGTGAATTAATTTTTGTCAATATATTTTTTTCTTAAGCTTTATTTTATTAAATATAAAAAATAAATTGTTCTTCAAATTAATATAATTTACCATTTAAGAGATAATGACCATATACATTAAATAGTTTTACTAATGGTAAAAAATTAAAATTGAAATATATTAACTATTTTTTAA